CAAATGCAATGTCTGAAAACCAAATTACATTACAATATGTCTTCAAGCTTCATTAGGTCAAGCAGTAAAGTAGTTTCCTTCCAAACAGATGAAAAAAAAAGTAAATTAAAGAATTAAACGAAGTTACCTGTACGACTTGCACCACAACTTTGCATATTTATCCCTTTATAATAAATAAACCCTTTATAATAAATAAGTACTTAATTTCATTGTTAATCTATATTCTGTACAAATTCTTGTATAGTAGGAAATTGGCACATACACGGCCAAGGCAGGTATAAGAAATTTCACCACTTTAAAAAAAGAACTTCATATTATATGTTGAGTCGTCTTCTCAAACTACTAAACGGTTTAGTGCTTTAAAATTTCTGTATTATTTTCTTCATGCTTATCATAATCCAAATATCTAGTAGAGTGAGAAATGTATTTTTCTTCACGTAAGAAATATAATTCATATGTATACTTGTCTGATAAATTGACTTTCAAACACACGTATGGTGTATTCTGATTTACACCGCTCATGTTATAGGAATTTTTTAAAACAAATTATATGAAATATGTAAAACTCAAAATTAATTAAATTTGCTGCATTTACTCCTCACCTATGTTACTACGCACACCTAGAACACAATGCTGACTCACATAGAGACAAAATATCAATATGCCTATATTAATGTACCTCACCACGCGCTGGCAGTGAATGGTAAATTAGATGATGGCAATACGCGGTCGGTAGCGACAATGTCAGTAAAATGGTTGCTAGGACAGTGATTAAAAAATTATGTAATTAGATTATATGTATAGATCATTTTATGCTTCTGAGCATAGTAAGCATAACCTCGACTTATCAGTCATTTTCAAAAATCTCCTTTTCTACTGCTAAAATCAGCTTCTCAAAACTGATTTATTTTCTCGTCTTCAAGTTCTTCTTGGGCAAATATTACCTCTTTGATTTATAAAATTCTCTTCTTCTCTTAAATAATATTTAACTGCAAAATCTCACTCAAGAAACAAGTAATGAAATTGTGAAAAAATGTATAATGAGAAGCTTTAAAGATTACACTTCCACTTAAACCAAACTGAGTAACCTTACTAGACAGTCTGGATAACTTTCTTCCCATCTTAACTTTCAATATTACAACACAACTAAGAACAACAAACATACAAAACCGACTAAAATATTTGATACTTTAACTTGAAGTTTACAAATGAAGAGAATAGCAAACTAAACTTCCATTTCTTTTGTCTTGTTAATAAGATATCAGTTCCTTATTTACAAAGAAAAATACTAAGACCCAAAAAACTGACCCCTGAGATAGCATGCTTTCTAGCATAACAACGAGTACAAGTGTAAAACTCGTTCACCAACAGTCAGTACATCAGCCGAAAGAAACCCGATCACCGTTTTCAAGGCCTAGTTTGCCAAAGCTCTCCCTCAAACCAGTAGAAGTGCTGGAAAGATTCAACATAAATTATTTATTAATTGAAATAAATCTTAAAGTTTTTAAAAAAATAAACTTTAAAACTTTAGAGCGACTTTCCGTAGTTTAACAATTTCATTCAGTTGCAGATATTTACAATAGAGTATTTTCCTAAAGCTACTTTAACTAATTTTAGGAATTAATTTATAAGGATTAATATTGAGTTTTTTTACTCTTAATTTTCCTCATCACTGTAACCTAGAAAAATATTTAATCGTAATCTAAAACTGTAAATCGTACTGAAGTGTTCAATTCATAAAAAGCTACATTTTCCGAGTTCTTGACTTGCAATTTAAGTTTCTAAGAAATTAACACATTTAAAAAAAAGCAGTGACTGTTATAGAGAAATTAAACTTTGATTTCTAATATGTCCTCAAAATAATACATTTTTAAATATTTTAACATCTAGTATTTATTTAAACAAACTTTTCAGGAAAAGAAAATAATTCAAACTGAAAGCTTTATCCTTAACTGTCTTTGACAAAAGTATAAAAAAGTATATACATAATTGACATTTTTAAATGTTATGCTCAAGCATTTTTCAGCTGTTTGTTCGAGTAAAAGAGGAATTGTTAAACTGCTGCTGAAGTTTCAACAAGTCTTCTGAAATTCTTCGAGAAAGGAATCCGTGCTTTAATTAACATTCCAGAAGTGGTTTCCCTAACATTCTCCAATCGATAAATTTGTTTCTAAGATTAAAACTCTTAAAAATTCAACAAGTTGTGCTCAATATGTTGATCGATGCTTTAGTTTCCATTCTGCATGAAGGAGATTTTCAAAATGACCTTAAATTTGCAGGGATGCTTACCCACAGGGTGTAATTAGATTGAGAGTAGACCATCGCTTCTTATCGTCTGGAAGTTAGATTTACTGGAAAAATAATATCTCAGAAGATTTAACTTTTGCCGTCTAGAAAGTATGCGTTAAGCTCATTTTTGTGCTTATTTCTTTAAGATCTGAACTTTTAAGTCGTTTAGGCATTGACGATTAGAACTGATTATAACTATGAAAAGTTAACATAATTCTTACGATTGCCTCTCATTTGATGATTTTTAAACGTAAAAAGAATTTTGTAAATTTTTAAGGTCACTTTCAATGTTTTAAAGTAAAATATGATATTTATTACAATAAATTAAACAGAAGATAAGGTCAGGTTATTTGAATGTGGCAAAGCACACGAGGGCTATTTGCGTAAATGGAGGATTGCTTTCGTAAATGGTGTTTCTAATAGAAACTGGATCGTATTCCATTACACGTGATAAAACCAGGAAAACTGACCATGCAGCCAGCCCGTTAAAGGGTTTAGTTCGAACCTAGGTTGAACTATCAGTATTCGGAGGTTTTAACTATTCAGCCAGCGGTGGGGCTTTGAACAAAAGATTTAGACAAATAAACTACAATAATGCTACACTGTTTAACTTCAGAAACAGAGAGAAATGTACACTTAAGCTCTAGAACATATTTCTTCATAAATTCCTCTTAAAATTAATGTACATTTTACATGAACTGCACGCGTTGGCTATTTCCCTTTGAAATTGTTCTGCAAAACATTTCTTTAAATTCTGTTTAAATTTTTAGGCTTTTTGCACTTTTTACAATCCCTTGAAATATAATCACTGGCTCCTTTTTAAGGAATTTTATTACTAAAAAGGACATTTAAAAGTTTTCTTGATCCTTTATTGTACTGGCATAACATTCCCTTAGAAGTTTACATGTTGTATTGTATATAAACTAAAAATAATTACACGAATAATTTTTTAAAAAAGTGCATTTTTAACTGTTTTTTAAATACTTGGTCTTAAATTGTAAATGAAATTTGCAGAATTGAAAGCTATTATAGGTAGAACATGATGTGAAATTATAACAGCTTGCGAGTGAAATTCAGATCACAGTTCTTTACAGTGGAGAATGCATCGACGCTGTGAAAGTAGCAAATGTGAAAAAATGAAAACATCGACAGCTTCTCTTAATATACTGGATTATCTCTCTTAGTTAATCACGGCTACCTTGCCATTCTTTTGCCCCTTGCAAGCAGTACAAATTTAATTGGTTTCTAAGCAGTTTTCGACAAATGAAAGGCAAAACACTATAGTGTTCAAAAATACCCTGTGATCAAGTTTAGGTTATTATAGTACGTCATTTAATATAAAAGTGTACTTTACCTTTACGCAAAGAATCAGTTTCATGACTTCTTTTTGACTGCACGCTAAATATGCCGAATGCCATAGATCTAAACGCTTTCCGTATGAATTGTAAATACAGAAACTAATTACCTCCTCCAACTCTTTTAATAATTATCGCATTATCTTACAAAATTCTCAGAGTCATTCGTAAATCCCAAGATCTCTCTACAGGGTACAAAATCGAAATGCGTGGCCGATAAACGGATCAATGAGCAGACTTTAACAGTGAGATATTTTTAAATCATCTATTTTTGTTCCATCTACTTTTGCGCAATTATTTTGAGTTTTCAGCTGTGATAAGTGTGGTTGTTTCTAACATATAAACTGGAGATTCGATTTGACTGTGTTCTACTGAACATAAACAATTTCGTAATAATCATTTCATGTATCTTTATTGCATTTATGTAATAATCAGCATATTATTTTAAAGAGAAATAGCCATTGCCATTTATCCGACGCCACAAAGCACTAAGTATCAAATTAATTAGGATACATTTTATCCATACTCTTTGTATTTTAGCTCTCATTTTCCGCAATGCATGCTGATTATAGATTTGTTACACAATGTTATGAGTTCCCAGTCTGTATATCGAATCGATATGGTATCCGCAACCGTGTCGATCTGTAACTATCACATTCGAGTACTGCAAACAGGAAATCTATTAATGTTCGTGTGAGGAGTATCTGAACATCAATCTGGTTTAGGTTTTACTTCTTATGTCAAATTTTAAAATTTACTTCTCAAACTTTTTTTAAAACATTTTATGCATTTGCTGTAAATTCTTTTAAACTTGTAGCAAATGAATACACTAAAATACTTTAAAAGAGTCTCTAAAGTAAATACTTCATTCCTATTTAAATGAAGTATTTACTAATATAGTCATTTCATTAATAATGAACTTTTCCGTAAATATTTTACAGATAGGTAGAAAGTTATATTACTTACAACAAATGCCTTACTCTTTCATTTTAGAACATTTTCAATATTTTTTTACTTTATTTAAAAATTATATTGATTCTCACTTTGAAGACAGAAAGCTAGTCGACTTTTAATGTTTGATGAATTGATCTTTAGTATTTTTATCCCTTTTTTATTCATAGCTTGAAGTCTTCGCTTTTTACATTCTTTTTTAAACAGCTATTTGATTTTATTCATATTTTCGTTTTATTTTCTTTCCAGTTTATTTCAAATAAAAATTTCTATTCTGAATTTATTTAAACTGTTATCACTCCATTTGTAATTACAGAGTAGGAATTTATCAATATTTCCTTTTATAAAAGTCCGAAAATTGTTTAAATTTTACTATTTGTTCTGAAAATTGCATTTTCTTCTTAGATTCGAAATGGAGCTGGCGGCCTCTGCATAGACACAAAATTCCGTGGCCAGAACGAGAAATTTGGTTTAGAAAAATGCATTAAAGACAATCCAAATCAAGGAGGGGAACAGGTAAGGTTCTTTTGCAGCTAACATCATATAAATCTTGTTCGCATTCTTATATAAGAACCAGAATACTTTTCTTTGCTGATTTTGTTTGTTCTTAAAAAGAATATATCCGTGCTCTTTCTATCTCCCTCTTTTCATGCAAATATGACGTATCGCATATTCATGAGATCTGCGCTCAGAGTAAAGAGAAGGAAAAAATACATTTTCGGTTATGTTGATTGATGGGCAGGTATTTAAATATATAATCCCCGGGCTATAGTTTAAGGAGATCAGACACTGAAATACGCATCTCTTTCTAACAAAAAAATGGCTCTCTTAAGTAAATCATGTGTCGGCTTTATAAGAGAAATGCTATTTTTCACAAGATATGATTGTCAAAATATATGCAAACACTCCCAGACTTCATCAGTGCGAAAGAGTGCTTACATTCTTACAGAATGGTCTGGAATAAGCTTCATTATTCCTTGAAGCTTTTGAGAAGGAAAAAATTGGTGGGAAACATCATTAGGTGGAAGTATACTAATTGCAAATTTCCTTGTGAACAGACTGGCAGCATGGGTATTTTTATGTTTTTTTGTGCATGATACATGAATGCGAACGACTTTCCCTTTAACGTTCCTCATGAAGCAATCCTTTTTCTTAAACAGACATCCCTAAGTCTTAATGCTTTACCAGGCTCAATTAAATGAACAAACTCTAGTTTGAATATGAGGAATTCATCAGTCAATTATGAAAATATTGTAAGTATTGCATATGTATAGCTACGATGTGTTGCAGAGACATTACGTTATTTCGAAGCAGGAGACATGAACAAAATGAACAATGTCCTCACCGAGACTCGAACCACGGACCTCTCGACTACGCGCCGAGTGTGCTGGCCATTACACCACGAAATCTTGATGAGAACGCGGTAGAAATACCTTATAACGTAATAGATACCAAAGCAAATTACGACACTTAGAAATATTTACGGATTACACCTCCGTTTTTTTTAATTCACTATTATCATCTAAATTAATATCACCAAATTGGCCCCATTTGCTTCTGTAGACTTGACAGCCTTTTGTGCAGGCCGAGCATTCCCATTACATGTTGTGGCACAATCACCGGCCTCAGAAATTTGAGGCATTTTTCTTAGATGCTTTATTTCATGCCTGGAGTTTACGTGAAATGGCCTCATGTATGAGAGGCAATGGAAGTACACGAACAAGTCAGGTACTCTGATGAGACCTTCTTCAATCACGGAATATTGTCATTCCCCCATCCGGAGTCCCCATATTGGCCTAACATTAGAAATGGTTTTGGTTTGGTTTGGTTTGGTTTATTTAAATACAGCAAAGCACGCAAATGCCATCTGCTTAAGAGAATGAATGCCTTCATAGAGGACTTTCTAAGGGAAACTGGCTCGTATGCACGTTACACATGGAAAAAACACGGAAACATCCATGCAGTCAGCCCTTTCACCTGGAATCGAAATCAGGTCGGAACTGCCGGTGTTCCGCGACTTTACCGCTCGGCCGGCGGTGGGCTAAAAACTAGGAATGATCACATTGTGTCAAAGAAAGTATACGGGAATCTTTGGAGTGTAGCCTTAATCTGTCCAGAGCAGTAAATTCGCCTAATTAACGGCCACGTCCTATGCTTAAATCGTGCATTCCAGATTTTATCATAAAAGCTTAACGTATGACTGCGGATTGTAAAACTGAAACATTTTTGAAGACAACAAATGGTTAGAATATTTCAAAATAAACCAGTAAATTTTATTTATTTGTTTATATTTAAATAAAAGAAGTACTAGCTATCTTTTTATAAAGTACTGATAGAAAATCGTGGTTGTGACATCAGTGGCAAATGTAAATACTAGATACATCAATATTTCTCTATGCTAGTAAAATAAATTGGCTGGTCCATTATTTCCTTTATACACAAAGTAGAGCTAATTTATGAAAACTAAACTTGAACATTTAATCTATTGTTTTTTTTTTTTTTTTTTAAATTTTTTTTTTTATTTTATTTATTTTATTTATTTATTTATTTTTTTTTAATTTTTTTTTTTATTTTGGCCACGGGAAAGATACCTTTGTGGAAAACTTAATAGACCTTTGAAAACCTCCACTTAAGGCGAGGTCTTAACGTTCAGCAATTTTATCCTACTTCATTAACCCATCTCGATAAAAGTTGAACTTTTCTGTTTCTAGAGATTTATCGCCCTCACATTTATTGACCATCTTTTAAGGTTGAGAAATGCAAAGACAAATAAAACAGACTTAAACATTTAATAACTTCTACAGTATATAAAGGCTATCAAAAAGTGAATTTTAACTCAACACGTTTTTGCAGTTTCCCGGCTCTAGGCACAGATTACCTTTTCAATAGCAGAACTTCAGTAGCTAAGCATTCGGAACTCGTTTGAAGGTTGATTAACTAAAGTGAACGTTCTAATCGAAGACTTAAGTCCTATCAACTTAGTTAGTTAAAACAGATTTACTGCTGTAGAAATCATATCAACTTCAGTTCTATGTTACTAGTCAAATCAGTTGATAAAGGAAGCTTAAATAGTGAAGTCTGCTGAAATTACCCATCTTCATTCATACTTTGGTTGTTATTACCCATCTTCGTACTTTGGTTGTTGAAAACGTTCTACAGCTTGAAGTCCAGCTACATCTTCAAGCCAGTTACGTCGTCTTAAATTAACTAATTAAACCTGCGCGCATTTAAAGCAGATTTGTATAAGAGTAGAAAACAACAATAAATATTTGAAAATTTAGCTAGTGAAACTTAATCCTTACAGCCTCTTACTTACCAACATAGGCTTTTCTTGAATGTCGATAATATGTGAAGACCGAGACCGCTGGCGGGGATTGAATCCAGGACCTCAAAATTCGCTGAAAAATGCTCTGCCAACTGAACTATTCAGATAATTTCTATTCAGTTAGGAAAGTCGAGTAATTTGTCCTTGATTAATTGATCTGACTGCAATGTAAATTAACTCACCTGTCATCAAATTAACCGTGATTTTAAAAATTTCACTTTTCCTGTTAAATAATGCTACTGCATTCCAGAAAATATACATTTTAGATTTAACAGCCTACAGTTATTGATATATGCATCTAAAGAGCTTTCTATTATTTACATGCATAGGAATTAATTATTTAGATAATGTCAAAGCACACAAAGGTTATTTCTCTAAGAAGAGGGATGCCTTCGTTGAGGACCTTTGAAGGGAAATTGATACACAGCCGGAAACTATGAAAACTCCCAAGCAAGCAACCAACCATTTCCCTCGAATAATTAACAGGCCGACCTTACTTTTACGAACTACTAGTAATTAATTACGAGTCTCTTATCTCTCACAACTATTATAATCTTAAGTATGAACAACTAAGCCTGTACGTTTCCATATAAATTTATCCCAAATCTAGAGAACTTAATTTGTAACTTGTATAGTTATTAGGTTTTTTTTTTTTTAAACAGAAGACGTGAAAATGTGCAATAACCTCTCCGAGACTCGAACCTGGACCTCTCGAATGCGCGCCGAGTGTGCTACAGTTACACCACGAAGACTTGTAAGAAGGAGGGAGAAAATACCTTATAAACTCACACGGATTTCTTTAAGAGTTATGCTATCTATGACACTGAACCAACTAACGGAAATTAGATAATAATTTCTTTAATGTTTTATTAAAACGTTCACAACTTCCTCCATCATCAAATATGTTATTAATGGAGATCGTAAAACGTATTAAAAAGTTTAATTAAAAATATAGTTAAAATAGATAAGATAGATTTAGGATTAAAGAAAAGAGAGATTTTCCGGGCCATTGCAATACTCTTAATAACGCTGTACAGCGTTATTAAGAGTATTGAATAACACCGTAGAAATTAAGAGTATTGAATTACACCGGACTTGGTTTCACAATGCTCACAGAAGCTGCATTTACACTGTTGTTTTGACTTATCTCACTTGTCTAACAGTAACATCAGATCAATTCTACGAAATTTATAGTAGCCAAGGGGCAAGAGTTGCGCTTATCATTGGATATCGCCTTGGATACCTTATAGGTTACAGTACTAATTTGGCTTGCCTCAGTTTTGAAGAAAAATCTTGCGTGAGAGCTCAGGGTCTTCAACCCCTCTGTCTTTCCGTTAATCTCTTAAGAGAACTTTTGAGTCGACATCATACGTATTTCCATGCCCCAAAGACACATGAACATCTATGTCTTCCCCAGGATTCGAACTGAGTCCAAGGTTACGAAAGTTGGCTTCCCTAATGAATAATAAAGTAGTAATAATATCTCTTGATTAATAAGAATCTTGCTTTTTGTATTTTCTTCCTCTTTTCCGCATGCCTTCGTGGTGTAAAGGCAGCAAGCACACTCTCGGGGCGTATTCCAGGTTTGAGAGGTCCAGGTTTGAGTACCAGAGAGGGTATTGCTCATTTTTCGTGTCTCCTACTTCAAAACGGCCTAATGACTCTAAATTTCATTCACATATTCTTTAAAGCAGTGAAATGCTCTTTGAATCTTTTCAAAGTAAGTGGATTCCAGATCAACGGTCCAGCTGCGCTTTTTTGGGATCCTGAGTGTGGGGGAAGGGATGCCTGAGCTGATGAAATTTGGGAGGCAGATGTCTTGCCCTGTATTCTTGAAGCCATGGACTATATCTTTAACTGTTGTCTTACTGGGAACTCTAGAGACTATAACTGTGAAACTTTCAGATCTAGGCTCTCTAAGTAAGAGGGAATCACTGAGAGAAAGTGTCTACCCTATCACTGAGAGATGGTTTCTCCTCTTAGACTTTATTCTGTCTGACGTGCGATTAGAGTGCTTGTATTTGATGATAAGTACGTGTTCTGACATTTGGTGGAGGATTACAAGATGGTGAGGGCTGCTGTCACCTTCGCGTCCCCTTTGTGAAAGTCACTTCTTTTGCGGACTGTTGTGCTGAAGTTGGAGCTGTGGCAGTAGTTGGAACGGCTAATGGGCAGAAGGAAGGGCTAGACG